CAGACGGCAGTTGGGCACTGAAAGTCCTTCCATTTCTAGCATGGTCCTGCAGGCAGTCCTGACAGAAGGTGTGCTGACATGGCAGCACCTTGGGCCTGGTGAACACATCCAAGCAGATGCTGCACGACAGGTCTTCAAGGATTTCTGCCCCAAACTTAGCGGAGCTGCCGCCATGATTTTATTGATTCTGCTTATGATGTGGCTGCCCCACCTCAGGTCAAAGTCTAACAATGTACCAGGTCATGACCAGTAGTGTTGTTTGGACCATCTTGAAAAATTTTAAGACTAAATATGAAATTCGGTGTAATTCACTCTACTGAGAAATTGAAACTAAAATATTTATTTTGCATCCTACAAAGAAAAAATAAAGGAACCACCACTACTATCAGTATACTATCGTATGTAGTATATATGGTAGAAGTTAATCATTGACACTGTGAGCACAGTCAAGTAGGTAAAATGTTTAATATTTGAGTGCTAGTATAAAGGTTAAAAATGCATTGTATAATGTTAAACGTCTGACTGGACTTATTTTCTGTCTTCTGGCTTCTTATACTTAGTTATAGAAGTATTTAGCCTTAAGAACTTATTATTACGTCATCCTGAGACTGGAGGAATGCAATTTTCATCCTCAAAAAGTACATACCCCCATATGTCCCCATTCTGGCACTACTATTGAGAGTCTCAACAGTCGAAAATACAGACTTATTTAAACATTGTGGCATTTTCCAGATTCAATAGTACAACAGTTGTAAGACATAATTATATAGTAACTGTGTTGTTCACAGAATCAGTCATCACTAGCTGTCCCCTTGGTGCCATGCCATAACTGATGGTGTTTTATCAGATCAGCTACTTCACTGAAGCTTCTATTGCATTTCCCATGATCACAATAGTGCAGTCTCTCTCTATCATGAGTCCTCATGATATGTCCCTTCAGATGCGACAATGTTGTGAACTGCTCGTTGCACTCGTCACAGTGGTACGGTTTCTCGCCTGTGTGAGTCCGCATGTGATCCTTCAGATTTGCCAGCTGAGTGAACTGTTTCCCACACTCTCCGCACCCGTAGGGTCTCTCCCCGGTGTGAGTTAGCACGTGCCTGGCCAGATTAGCAGACTGAGCGAAACTTTTGCTGCAATGCTTACACTGGTGCGGTTTCTCTCCTGTGTGATTCTTTATGTGTCTCTTGAGAATTTTCAGCGTGGTGAAGTGTTTGCCGCATTCCTCACATCTGAACGGTTTTCCTCCATTGTGGACTAGTATAATGTGCTCCCTCAGCTGACCTGGTCGACCAAACTGCATACTACACTTTCCACATTGGTGTAGTTTCTGCCTAGTGCTGTTTCCAGTTTGTGGTTTGATTTGACGTAACTCGCTGTTAGACTCCTTGGGTGATTTTTCACCAGAGCTAGGCTGCATCTGTATTGTCATGTTGCCGACGTACCGTTGGGTGTTGTAGATGTTACCTCCTTGCAGTTTGTCCACATTCTCAATTGAGTACTGGTTGCAGAGTTCAGCTCTTCTTTCCAAGATAAGTGAACCACTGTGAAAAAGAAAGAAGTCACATTAAGTGTTTTTAGAGTGAATATTTTGTCAAACATACTAGTATCTTGGCTTTGAATCACGGGAAGTACATGTGATCTAGATGTATTCAGAATGGTCAAACACCTTATGCATTATGAAAGACGTAGTATATAATTACTAGTAAATGATAAAAATACAGAAATAATACTGTACATACCCAGATGTAACACTCCAAACCAAAGGACTGCACGACATCGTTCCCTCAACAGCAACACCGATCCTAGAGCCTTAGGAAATGACAGAATCTGAATAGTCAAGTCTTTTTAAACTAAATGGTGGTTGGCTAGTGATAATACTGGTTTGGTAGGTACATGTATTTACTTGATTACAAAACAAAGAACAATGTTGATGCACTAATTTGCATTTGGAGAGATTAGACTACTTTTGTTCTTACTGGTTTTACCAGCTGCACAGCCTGAAATTGATGATAAATGCCTGTAATTGGTATGTAAATGAGGTGAAGACAAATTTTATACAGACCATAGGAGACAAAAGACAAGGCAAAGCTAAGACAAGGTTCATGCTAATGAGTCAGTTAGCTCCTGTTGTTTGAGTAAGAGCTAAATGTTGTCTGTTACATTTTGTACATTACAGGAAGGCACCACACCGTTGATACTTGCAGCAGCCAACAATCACTATGGGTGTGTGAGGGAGCTACTGGACCAAGGGGCATCACCACATATCAGGAGACATGTATGGTCTAAGTTTTTAAAATATGAAGATTCTTATCTTGTAGCACAATTTTTAAGGCATTGTTTGGACAAGACAATACACATGTACATCTTACCTTTGCACATATACCTGCTATAAATTGTGGGCCCATGTCACATGCAGCTTACCAAACTCCTTCATTTGTACATGTTGCACCAGTTTGACTTTGAGTAAATGAATATCTGACTTGGCCTTTTTACTTACATTTGTATTTTCATATTTCTCCTGTCGCAACCTGAAATGACTTTTTTCATGTTGCATGCAGATGTCTACATAGAAATGACAATGGATCAGGATTATTATTTTTTTCATTTCATTGTTCTTGTTTTGCTTGTTTTCTCAGACAGGAACATGTGCACTGTTCTTTGCTGCACAGGGAGGATTCCTGGACATTGTGAAGCTACTACTGGACAAGGGTGCTCCTGTGGAACATCCCCCAGTAATGTAGGTGTTAGCCAGTTTAAATGAACAGGTAGATATGGATACTACTGCTCATGGACATGATGTTATCAATTATCAGTATATTTCAGTATATCATATGAATGCACAGAGTAGAATTACCAAGAATATAATGTTCCATAGGTATTCTGTCAGACAGCAAGAAATTTTAATAGCCTCAGTACCTGTCTGCACTGTCCTTGGTGCAAGGTGTAGTTACTCTGTCCTTGGTGCTGAAAACCATTCACATTTGTATTGGTGTTGTATTATTTTGATTTACACTGTAGAGTAAAAAAAGAGTGCACTAAAGAGTGTCAAAAAAACCTTATTTGTTTAAACCCTTGTCCTGCGGGGCCCATATTTTTCCACATACAGCACCACCCATATAGCGCCCTGTATATGTAGGATTTGGGGGTATTTCTTGTGCAAAACCTCACACCGCAGCAAAACACAACGGATGCTGAAGTAACTATGCCAGAAAAGTCCTGTGACCTGATTAAGACATCAAATTATTTGAAAACATATTGTGTAAAAGATATCAGCAGGAAAAGGGTTTTCAGATATGTATTACTGCATGTGGCTCTTGCAATTTCAATTTCCTAAACTTATATCTGCCATCTCCCATGCAGGACGGAGGGACTCCACTGTTTGTAGCCTGTCAGTGCAACCATCTGGCTGTGGTGAGGGAGCTGTTGGGGAGGGGGGCCAACATACATGCCACCATGGCCGTAAGTAACATCAACATTATACATACATTTCAGAAGTGTTTACATTTCATTCACTTAAAAGCTGACATTGGGCTAGGGTTCTTGCCAGAAGGGATCAGGTATAGAAGGCCAACTTTGTGTGGCACAAACTGGGCATGGATTGCAAAAGACAAGACCACAGTACTAGTTCTGTCATCCTTTAACCTGTAAGGTTCTTTTATCACAGGATGGAGCCACTCCCTTGTTTATTGCAGCCCAGAATGGACACTGCAAGCTCCTCAGATTCCTCCTCTCTAAAGGTGCCAACGAGAATCAGATAAGAAAAGTATGTTGTATCTCTCTTTCTGCCAAATTTGCAATGATATACCTGAATTCCTATAGAACAAACTTGAACTTAAATGATAGACCCATTTTCGAGAGTCTGGTGTCTAGAGTACATCTGATGAATTTTTTTTTCAGGACAGGGCCACCCCCCTGTGGATTGCCTCCCAAATGGGCCATGCTGATATTGTGAAGGAGTTGTTGGATGCAGGTGCACAGGTCGATGCTGCCAGGGAGGTTAGTAATCTTCATCTTCTCTCATACAAGAAGCAATAATATCAGCTTTTAGCAACCTATCCATAATGTAATTTACCAACTCAGATGAAATTTCATGCTAGCAAAACATGTTGATTTATATATGACATGTATGTCGTGTATACAGGATGGAGCTACTCCACTGTTTAAAGCAGCACATAAAGGACATGTGGAGGTTGTTAGGAGCCTGGTCAACCATGGGGCCACCTTTGAACTTTTAAATGTGAGTAGCCAAGTACACAGTCAACAGTGTAAAACACTACTTCTCTGTTGTTATATGACATTGTAGATTTCTTTTGTGTAGTCATCATTCATCCATCTCGGTCAAGACTGTCTTCACTATTAAGTCATGAGCTAACCAGGGATACATGTGCCTTTCTATATATATACTAGGTACATGTTCAAAATGTAGGACTGGTGTACTAGTTTCTACCACCATTACTGAGGAACAACTATCAAATAGCATGTAAATAACCAGATGACAGTAGCTCTGTGCTATGTTTAAAAACATCAATCAAACTATTATTATGATTTTTCTTCAGAATGGGGAAAGTGCCTTACATGCTGCAGCATTATTTGGGCACCTGAAAGTTGTCAAGGACTTGGTAGCTGCAGGAGCAAATGTCAACCTAAAAAATAAGGTAACAATGTTTAGTATTACTTGTTTTTGTATTTGTATTTCCACAATACTGTTTAACTTAATTTACTTTCACTCTCAATTTTGTGGGAAAGAAATTTTTTGCAGTTTTTAGATTCACAGTTTAAACAGCTCTGTAGTTTGAAATACAAGTCATGATTTTGGAGTGGAGAGGTCACCGCAAAAACCAATGCAAATAAAACCACTGTGGATGCTTCAAGATTTACAGTCTGCTTGCTTTGAATTTGACCTTAAATTTATTTGTCTTTCATTTCTGCAGGAAGGACAGACCCCGGCCGAGTTGGCAAGGGATGCTGGGTATGATGTCATAGCAGAGTTTTTATTGAAGGCTAGACCATCTTACCAAACAACAGTATGAGGCAGTGTATTGTAACATTTGTATGTAGTGACATACATCATCACAAGGTATTGTGCCACATATGTACACTGATTGGAAAGTCATTGGAAAGGTCACAAGATATACAGTATCATGTACAATCGAGAGAAATGTTGCTTATTTTGTGATGAAACGAATCTTGAAAGATGATACAGAAATTAATGTAATTGTATTAAAGCTAGTTAGGATATTAGAAAGAAAATCCAAAGGTTTATTGTAGAGTGGTGGTTGGTTCTTCATACTGGCATCCAGTGTCATGAGTTTTGATACTTTGTTTAAGGAACTTGATGCCAGCCAGAGACTTATTTTTTACCTTAGATAGGGGAAATGCAGTCTCCATTTGTTACCTCCATGAAATGTGTCATGGAGGTTATATTTTCAGTTGCGTTTATCTGTCCGTCTGTCCGTCTGTCCTTCTGTCCGTCTGTTGGTCAACAAGATAACTCAAGAACGCCTGGATGGATTGGTTTCATACTTGGTGTGTTGGTAGGGTGTGACGAAAACTGGAAATGATTAGATTTTGGTCCCCCTAGTGGGCTTCCCTTGGTACTGCAGCGCAACTTCCGGTTTTGATATCTCGCGATCTGGACATGCTAGGGTCATGAAATTTGGATGATAGGTAGCTCTCGTGCTTGGGAAGAAGTCACATGAGTTTGGGCCCCCTAGCGGCTTGTTCTGGAACTGCAGGGCACTTTCTGGCTAAATGTTTAAAAGCCAATAAGTCCAGACAGGAACAACATATTTTCATTATTTTTGGTGTGTAGGTGGCTTAGAGGGAGATGTACATAATTAAATGCAAATTATGCAAATGAGGACTTAATTGGCATAATTAATGAGGAAATTCTATAATTACAGTGTTTTACATTATACTACTTACATACATGTAATGTATGTAACCTATGGCAGGTGGAACTTCAACAGATACTAATTATGCAAATGATGACCTAATTTGCATAATTAATGCGAAAAGTCCAGACAGGAACAACATATTTTCGTTATTTTTGGTGTGTAGGTAGCCGAGAGAGAGATGAACATAATTAAATGCAAATTATGCAAATGAGGACTTAATTGGCATAATTAATGAGGAAATTCTATAATTACAGTGTTTTACATTATACTACTTACATACATGTAATGTATGTAACCTATGGCAGGTGGAACTTCAACAGATACTAATTATGCAAATGATGACCTAATTTGAATAATTAATGCGAAACTTCTATGATTTCGTAATGGTGAATGATGAGAAGGTCATACTTGGGACATCTGTAAGTTAATCAAAAGTTAACATACATCACGATGCATATATCATGTTAATGCAGAGGTCATTTGCACAATTAAAGAAGAAATTTACATTTACATATCAAGATCATATTTCATGGAGGTATGAGGTCTCGGAATTCTAGTTATATATAGTTTTGATTTTTGAAATAAGCCACTATTATACAGATGTCTGTCCTCCCATGCTAGAACATTACAAACCGAGGATAGACACATACATGTATGTACATTATAGTAGTTATGGACATCATTTAGTCATTGACAATGCCAACTTTGCACTTTGTCTACTGCATAAAACTATCTACTAGACACATTTTTGTCTGCGCATGCTTTGCAAATTCCAGCATACAGGTATTTCAATTCTGAATGTGGCATTGCATAATAGCATAAACATAGTTATGGACATCAGTTAGTCATTGACAATGCCAACTTTGCACTTTGTCTACTGGATAAAACTATCTACTAGACACATTTTTGTCTGTGCATGCTTTGCAAATTCCAGCATACAGGTATTTCAATTCTGAATGTGGCATTGCATTAGTATAAATGTATGCAATCTAAGCCAACTCAGGACATCCTTAGAAACAATAATTAGTTACACAAAAGAATGATGTATGACACATCGATTTTGAATTGTAGGTGAATACTTGTTGCCTAAACTTTGAATACATCTTTGTTGCTGTGTTGCTTATGTAATTGTAAATGTAACAGTAGCTTTTGTACTTTAAGTATTCCCTACAGCACGTGACCTCTGCGGAGGACAAGAAGATCAACTGACCTGTGTGTGAGATGGAGTATGGAGGAATAGTTACTAGAGTAGCAGTGATGTGTTTTGCAGTATGATGTGTTCTGTATGACGTGTCTGTCATGTACATATTTCCACTGGTCACCCAAATTACATCAGACCATCTGAGTTTTGATTGGCTGATTTTTGCCAAAAAGCTTGGAACACCCACATATCACAGGGCACATAATTTTGTAATATTGCATTCATTGAAGACAAATCATTTGAATATTTACATATATTATTTATGCATACTTATAAAATTACTAGAACCAGACAATCCAGATGATGTGTAGTGCATCAACTAGAGGACAATTTGACTGTCACCTGTGAAGGGTGCTGTGACAATCTGAGTCATTACTTGTAATAGACTAAGTTTATTATTTAATTCTATTTTTTTTATATTATTAAATGTTGTGAGATACAAATATTCATGGCATAATAAAATTGATATTCAACCTGGAGTTGTTATTTTATTTCAAACAACTGTGACGCAGAGAAGAGTATGTGTGAGGCATCTTATATAAGTTCTGGTCACATTTGTCATACGATTGCAAACTGAGCTCATTCTTAGAATAGCTGTCATAGTGGATGTATCCTGCAAAATGAAGCTATCTTGTAATGGAAAATGCTCACAGTTGGTTCTGTAACAGACTGCTTAAAAATTCTGTGGCCTTAAAATTACACAGTGGCCTGTGAGAATGTGACCATGCTGTTACGCACAAAAAATATATGAATTTTGTATTGGATCATTAATAGTAAGATCTTTATCAATGGATAGCCTCATTCAGACAAAAAAAGGAAAAATAAATCACCAACACAAAATATCTGGTACCTAATGTTACCAAGAACATGTAATTATGAAATCCCCAATTATACAAATACCAGCCACTCATACAGTAGCATTCTCTTTGAAAAAGCAAGAACCTGACAGGATGGAAAGAAAACAAACACTAAGTGTTGATAATTGCAGTGAAGAGCACTTCATTTCACTTTATTTGACATTTGTAATGGGAGTAACAATTTCAGATATACATGTACAATCTTCTTTATAGATAACATGCAGGGTATAATTTGGATAGAATTGTAAATCATTATGCACCCTCTTTACCAAAATAAAGGTCCAATATCATACGGGATAAAAATTGTAGTATAGTGTAAATCACTTGTAGATGAAAACTATGCTGACCTTCAGGACAATCACATGAAAGACTTTTCCTGAAATATAGCATTAACTTTGGTCAGAGACATTGTTTTTCTTTCTACCAAGCAAATCTTATTGACTAAGTCAAAATTAAGTATAAAATAATATCAAATTCTCACAAACAATCAACAATAATTCATTGAAATCCTCTTTAATTAATTGATTGGTTGTTCTTTTTGTTTGAGAACAGCTCTAAGCCAACTATAACTTCACTCTTTTCTAGTATACAGCTTATAAAATTATACATCTGCCAAACATGTCAGTATCTCACATTATATCAAGACCTACTCTTTTTCCACGACCCAACGTTACTTGATATAGAGAATATTAACTTATTAAAAACATGAAATGGAATGATTAATACCCACTCAGCTTGTTTCAATTCTTTCACAGAGGAAAGCACTCCATGATGCAGGTGTCATTGGAGACTTTGGTATTATGTGTAAAACAAACTCAAATGATAAATGTTCACCCTTGTTAGGCAAAAACACAATAAAGTCTACAGTTAGTAAAATATATTTTACAATTTTGAATGACAGTCATGCCTTGCCTTCCACTGTGTTTTCCCCAACCTGTGTCAAAACATGTTCATAAAAGTACCTGGTATTAAGAGTAGCACATAAAGCTTGTTCTGACTGAGGCAAACCCTGCACACGAAATGTAGTTATTGAGATTTTCTTCTAATTCTACAGCTGCATTACAATCCGTCAGTTGAGGATGAATTTAAGACCACAAGGCCTGCATGGTGACATCACATGTCACTTGTCCATAAGCCACAGTTTAACTACACAGGATTACAGCCCTTACATCAGCATTGATTTCTGCTTAGATATAATTACATTTTATAGAGTTCCTCTTTGACTTATGTACAAAGGTAAGCCCCTGTATGTGTGGATGTTCCTTTGACATCAGAGTTCTGTGTAAGAAGTGGTTTACAGGTCTGGAATGGAATGGTCCATCATCTTCTTGACCAAGCTGTCTGCCATGCTGCGAAGGTGAGGAGGGGACATCAGATTAGTATCAAAATTAATCAAGTGGAAGTTCATTTCACAACAATTGTATTAGATGAGACTACTGGCTAATAGTAATACATTGAGTTGTTACAATCTAGTAGTACATGTAAATTATACAATGTTGATAGAAGGCACAATGTACAGTCACTGTGTAAGGCAAAGCACTGACAAGATGCAATAAGGACTTGTATGTATACTGTACAATTACATAAAAATGATATTCTTATGTTGTTTGAAATTTTTTTGCATGGAGGACACATGGCATAAAAATGTAAAAAAATTACTTTGCCCAGACTAGTTCAAAACTACTTGTCTTTTTTTCATTTGAGAAAAGGTTACCGAGTCTTATTTTAAAAAAAGCATAAAAACTGTAATATTTGAAGAAGTGGACTTACTTCTTGACAATGTGGTTGTACACATAGGTGGGCATGATGGTGATGGTAATAGTCTGTCCCCCTGCTGCAATGATCTCAGCAATCTCCTTGTCCTGTAAAACAAGAAAACAAAATGACAATATGTTACTTCAGGTCACAGCAAGACACAAATTCATGGTCCTTCATATAGATCTTGTCCCATTCGCTGTGTGACTTTTTGATGCTGTCAACTTACTCTCTCTGGACAGACACACAAACCAACAGCTACATGTAAGCCAGTGACCTGAAATAATACTTAGGTACCAGTTAGTGATCAACAAGTAAAGAACAACAAACTTTACCTTCAGTCCGACAACGTTCTGCCCGTTGACCTCGATCAGCTGGTGCTCAATGAGAACACCGTTCCGTGCGGCGGACGTGTCCTTCGCGATGGCTGTGATCTTGCCATTCTTGAAGACAAAGCCGATGTGGTTGGAGCTGTCCTTCTGCATGGTGATTGTCCTCTCAAATGGCCTGCATACAGGAAAAACAATAAACTTTAATCAGTGCATTGCAAGTCCATGAAACATCCACTTTTGGAGACACTTGAATATCTTCCATAGAATATGCTTGGTAAAAAATTACTGAACATGCATGTCAGCTGTACTAGAAAAAGAAAACTCACCTGTCCCTGACAGCAAAGACGATCCTGTCTGGTGGGCACTTCTTCAGGTACTTCATTGTCTTGTCCATGTCCCAGCCAGCTACCACCTCCTCGTTAATCTGCAGGATCTGGTCGCCAAAACGAAGGCCTGCCAACGCTGCTGGGGAGTCCTTGTGCACAAAGGCCACAAACACACCCTGGAAAATACATGACAAGTTTAGTCAGATTCAAATCCTCCCATGTAGACTGCTTTTTAGAGCAAGATCCCAGACAGATTCTGAGACCTTCACATTCACCCTTTTTCCTCCATCTGACCTTTTGACCTCCACTCATTCTTTCAATCTTTCCCCCACCCTACTGTGCTGTCAACCTACTGTCAGACAAACATACACAAACACACACTTCAGCCACCCAAATCATTTAATACTATCGTGTGTTCCATTTCTGAAACTCATAGCCGAGACTGCATTTTAAGTGTTTTTACCTACCTTATTGACGTGCCTGACTCTGAGTCCGATCTTGCCACTAGCGTCCTTACAGCACACCAGCTGCCTGACTCCCTGTTTGATCTCAGCACGCTGGATTCCCACGCTGTTCCCAGAGATTGGGGCTGTCACCACGGTACCCGCGGGACGAGGAACAACGGCCTGCTACATGGGGGCAGGAAAAGGCTTTTATGTGGTGGTCAGCAACAAGTGAATGATAAGTGTTGGGAGAAGGGGTTTACCTATAACTATAAGAATATTATGTTAAACTTACCGAAGGTGGTGGCTCCAGAACCTGTGGCATATTGGCTCTCACCTCCTCTGGGGTCAGACTCAGTCCCATGTAGTCATCCAGGGATGGGTACAGGCTGACTGCAAGGACAAATACTCTTGTCAGGAATATATTTGTACCTGTTTTAGCTCATGAGCTATAAAACACACATTCACAGTTGCAGTCACTACTATTCTTACTTACTTAGTACTTTACTTTGGTAAATGTATGATTGGTATTTACATGTTTGCATAACATGACGATAAAGAACCTACAAATGCATAAGACATGGAAACAAAACTCACATTGAGCAACTGGCATTGCTCCAGATGCCTGTGTAGGGTAGGCCTGTGGCTGTGTAGGGTAGGCCTGTGGCTGTGTAGGGTAGGCCTGTGTAGGGGCCTGGATAGCAGCAGCCTGTTGTGTGGCCTGGTACTGCTGTGCCTGAAGGGAGAAGGGTATGTACATATAAAATTCCATGCCAAAATCGCACGACGACCTATGGCGAATGTGACAGTCCATACTTCTGTTCTCAAATTATCAGAACATCACACCATAACACAACAACCGTATGTGCCTTCCAGTTCTTCAGCATACAATCACAATTGCAACAGTGACAATATTTCTATGTCATTGCCTTCGACGAGAAGGCTATGAAATCGGTTTCGGCCTGTTTTGTAGATTATGCACGGTAAAGTTTGAAGGCATGGTCCGAGGTTCACGATTTTTGGCAGGCAGGTTGATTTGGGGGTGGCCATTGTCAAGGCTAAAAATGGGCTTCGTGGGGGGTTCCTAAGTCACTGTAATTGACCTTGGTTTTTGGTGTTTTTTCCTTGTCATCAAGATATCTCGAGTATCCTTAAATGGATGTTCATGATTTTTAGTGGGCAA